ATGGCCAAGAGAGTAAACACCTTAGAATACAGACAGAAATTCAACGATACATCGACGAAAGGAATCGCGTACAAAGACGAAGCTTTTTTATTTTGCGGGATATATTGGCTGCTAAAAAAATAGACCGAAGTCGTAAGAAGCGAAGGACATTAGTTTAACTGGAATGTGTTTGAAAATTAAAATAAATAAAAAAGTTAAAAAACAATGGACATTTTCTACCTAACCTAATATACGTGTATAAGTATATACGCAGTGATGGAGAGGGGCATTCAAATTCTTACGTATATATTCGTTGTTCTCGGCATTAGAGAAAATTTAGTTCTTCTAGAATTAAACAACCTATTCAACATGACAAAAGACAGTGCCTCATTTTCAAATTTCAAAATTTGAATGAAGGTTAGCTGTTATTTAATATTTCTCCGCTGAACAAAATCCGTTCAAAAAAAAAAATATATATATATATATTTTTTTTTTGCCTGAAATCATCGGCCTACATTATTGCCAGGTTCCATGCTGTTTCTGAAAAATCTTGGAAAGATTTTCATAGGACAAATCAGAAGATCCTCAATAGGGCTTAGGTAAGGCTCGTTCTGATATACTTTGATTTTTGGCACAGAAATTAATGACCGTTTTGAAGAGAATATCGATTAATAATAACCGCTAAAGCGCCAATAATTAATCTTTTTAAGACTTTTTTGCCCGCTATACGCCCTCGCACTTTTAAAGCCTTTAGCCTGCTATCACTCCAAAATTAAACTCCGCGATAGTGATTTCTATGTGGCGTATTTAAAGGACGCTTTGTACCTATCAGTATCCCTTAGCGCTCGGTTACGATTAATAAGGAATATTTTGAAAATGACAAGTTTGTGATTTAAGCCCCGAGTTGAAACGACAATAAGCGTGACCGTTAAGACTGACCATTGTAACAAGTGCAAGAGTTCTGTTCAGGTATCTGTTTAGATATACTTTTAAAAATACCACATGAAAAACCCACATTTGGATAGTTCAGTCTATAGATAAAGCGTAGCGATAAGGTCGTTGTCATCGAATGACGACACTTTGCACCATCAGTTGGCGTGTCGCAAGCCTTCAGATGCCTGACGTTATTTACCGTTTCGATCTCCGATCATATCTCGTAATAACAGACATCTCTGATGTCCAATTCGATTATGAGCATCAGCCTATGCCCTAATTTATTCGCTTTTATCATAAAACTCTCTTTCATGTCTGATCTTCCTGCAATGGGAAACATTAACTTACCCATATGTCGTCCGTAGCGATGGCGTGCCTATTATTGAAAGTGATTGGGAAAATTATCATTACAGATGATTCGGTTTGTTTTTAATTTGACGGCAACCAGTTTCTTGCCTTTCTTCTTCATCTTACGTATTCTGGTTTCGTAGAAGTTCCGGGATTGCAGCAATCCATCTTTCCGTTTGACATTAACAAACCGTTGGTTTCGTCAATGTCTGGAAAATTTCCCCAGCGCTCTCATTTTCGAAAAATTAGATATTTAATCAGATAAGCGCTTAGTTTCAATAACAAACCATATTCTGCCACTCAATCAACAAGGGTAAACGTAAAAGATGTCGTCTAAAAGTGATTCAAAAGGTTTGACCGCTAAACAGCTTCGTACAGCCAGTATATATATGCGTGCAAATATATATATATGGAGGGTGAACAAAAGACTATTGACGTTCTTTCAAGCCATATGGTTTCGAAGTCGTATCTCTTACGTAATATATCGCATCGGGTGTTGGTATCATTTGAAAGTTGACATTCGAGAATAGCAGATGTGCTAGAATTTTGGGAAGGCCTTTCTTTGAACTTCTAACAGAGCATCTTGGATATGAGTTACATTTTAGTAAAGATTCATAATGAATCTTACAATTTTGCCTCATTGAAAATAAAGGTTACTTAGGCCCGAAAAAAAGATATGCTGTTTATAGTGGCGTTATCGGACGAAACAACCCAACGATAGCTTTCTGATCCGCGAAATCTCGATGTAGAAAACGCTTTTTGCAATCGTCGACAATAACATTAAAAAAAAACTGATGAAATAACTATAAAAACTGAGCGAAACTGACACGCAAATAGTCAGCACGTTATTAAGAAATTAGATAGTCATTAGCATTTTTAAGAGTTTTAAGTGAAAAGAACTGATTACAAAAAGAAGTTAGGTGTTTGGGTTTCACACGGATCGAGGCCAAAAAGAAGTTATCCGAGTCCGTCCGCCGAGCTGTTCAGAAACGCAACAAGTTCGATCCGTTCCGAAAGGGGTTGGTAACAGGTGATGAAAAGTGGACGGAATGTTTAAATAGAAAAATAAAAATTTTGCTCTACTTGTAGAAAATAAAGTGATACTATGTGTTGCTAGAATTAAAATGGAATGGATAAGAATTTCTACTGGCAACGATAAACCGTTGAAAAAAGTCGATTGTAATTAGTGAACAGAAGGAGTGTCCTCTCTTAGCATGGCAATGCTAGATTACAAACGTTATTAGCCAGCCGATAGAAACTGAAGGAACTCAAATGGGAAATAGTCTGCAACTTACATTACTCGACTACTTACCGCTTCGGTCTCTACAGAACTCTTCCAATGAAATAAGTTTAATTTCAAAAAAAGTTAAGTTTTTTTTAAAGAATTCCAGGGAAGGGAAAATCACTTATAATAATTTCTCGCCCGGAAACCATAGAAGTTCTGCAGTATAGTTCCGGAAAAGATGGCAAAAAGTCGTCGAACGAAATATTATGTATTTAGTTCAGTAACTTAGTTTAAAGCATAAAGACAGATTTGCTTTGATTTTGGCTTAAAGATCGTCATTATTTTTTGGACTACCTGATATATACTTAACATCTTTACAGTGCATTCGTGATGCCCACATGGGGTAAGTTTGTAGTTTCAGATGTACGTATTGTTTTTGGCATTAATCAGGTAAACTGTCGATGAGCTGGACATATATTCGGCTAAAGCGCAGCGTCCGTAAGCAGCTGTTTATACGGAGTACATGTTGTAGCGTTTTGGTAGCGTTTCGTACTTTGATCGATTCTTGATCAATGCAGACCACATACATTCCTCTGTAATACAATTAGGTAGTGCAAATATATGGTAGATCAATATAAGGCAATTGCTACAAACGTGAATATGTACGGCAGGGTATTACTTCTAGACAGTTTCCATATAGGTGTTGTACGGTTCAGTCATGGCCTATCCATTGTTGCTCAAGGCTAAAATGTGGGATGATTGTGCAATAATGTCCCCCGCTCCTTCATAGCAGAGAGATGACTCGTCATTACTTCTGGTTAACTTCTTTGATTTCTTTTTTCTTAAGTTAACTTAAGATTTCTGCGGAGATTTTTGATATAGAGCAGGACTGGTTAAGCGAAGGACGTTTGCGTAGGCGATAAATGTCGTAAAAATCAACGTCTCTCTATCAGCGCAGCTCTGCTAAACATCGAGGCCTGCTAATACTTATCCTTCTTCTTATTCAGGTTCAGCCGAAACAACACAATGATACATCGGCGCTACGCGTCCGTTATCAATGAGATGTGGACCGTTTATGTAGCGACAATTCGTCGTACGCAAAACAGCCTAAGTGAAACATCGTTCTTCATCTAAGTTGCAAGCGAACCTAGAATCTAGAAGGAGACCAACATTTTGCAACCGTCAGCAACGGCCCTTCGGTCGAGCTCTCGAGGCTGCGTCAAATGAAAACTAATAAAAATGATAATGCACTACCAGTGCACTCGTATTCCCAACTACTTACGAAGGAGGCTGCCGTCCCAGGAGAAGGACTGGCAAGCTCTGCGCAAGTTCGCTTTCCATGGACCACCCTTCCACCATCCTTTCCCCCTACTTCCCACACTCCCAGATACCTCTAAGCTTCCCTTCAGGTTAAAGGTACCGGTGCTTCGTTCCGTAGGAGTAAGAATTAGCTACGTAGGAGAGTGTTCGCTGATGGGAAAAGCAGCCGTCGGCTTCAAAGTTTAGATAACGAGGCGGTGGACTTCACTGCAATGGCGTGGAGCGCACTCACCCCACTGCCGCTTCACAGGGTGGATGTTCCGCACGGAACGCCGTGCTTTAGTTAGCCAGGAAAAACGACGATGCTCGAGAAAGAGACAAATTGAAGACCGGCTCGAACAGGAAGATGGCGGTGCTGGCGGTGACAATGGCGTCGGCAGCGTCAGCGGCAGTAAGCCGTCGAAAAGGCACTAATGCATTAAACTATAATATTGGTCGTCGTTCAATCCGTAACAGCGGCTGCGTTGGTAGGCCTTCAGTTGGTTGGCAATCGACGAAAACAGGTACCCTTCAAGGGAGCAAAAAGCTCGTCACGATCAAAATTTGCGGCTACTACTACCACAATATAGAACTGTTTAGATAGACATGCAAGAGTAACCGAAATCGTAGGAAATCGCAGGGCAACTAAGAATACTAAGCTGGGCTGGTCGGTCGACCTTCGTGTCACTCGTTGCTACAGGGGCGCGTCCATTTTCTTATTATATAACATCGCATTTCGGCCTCACACGAACGCGTACAGGTCAAACATTTGCACGAACGGTCAGTGATGCCTTGTACGCGGTATTTGCGTTTGTCGCAGCGCTGTATGGTGGTCCGGTGCAGCGGAGTCGACTGATGAAGCCAAGCGCCGTCATGCGAACATTGCACTGTTTAGTACTATTGATTGGATGATGTTTTTTCGAATAATTCAACAACAAACACATTCACAAAACCTCTCTGATTCTAACGGTAACAGGCAACTAGGCATAGTGACATGAGAACAGCGATCATTTCGCGAGAGAAGGCGAGGATGACAAAGGAGCTTAAGCAAGGGCTCCTCTCCCCTGTCACCGCTGACATCATTCCAAGAACTACTCCGGAGCTGTTCGTCGGAGCGGGTCGCGTTCAAAAACCATCGGCGTGGGACGGACTTCCTCTCGCTCCATTCCGCATCCTCTGCTGCTTGACTCAGCATCAGAGTCCGCACCATCTGTTGGTGTCGCCGAACTGAAGTGCTGCACCAGACCAATACAACATCTAGCAATATCCGGTAGCTTGCGCCTGTGTAGGCTGGTGGAGTGCACGAAAAATCCGCTTCATAGCAGTATCAATAATAAGCAGTTCGCTTGTAACTAGCCAGCCCACAAGTGAACCCCAGTCTCATTGTGGCGCAGTGCATCGGCTTCCCCGGCAACGCTTCGACAACCTTTGGGACAACAACGTTCCTGTTTGTTGAGTTCGATTTTATTCGCTTTCATGTAATAATTCCTGTTATCGTTAGTTTGTTTGTATGTGTCTGTGCTTTTGTCTGTTTGTTGGTTTGCGGCTGCGTTCCGTCCGTTCGACTGCGGTTTGGCTGAACCGTTCATTTAGTTGTGCTCAGCATCGTAAGAACTGTGACCGTTATTATTCCCCAAGCAGCCGGTATGGACCTTCATCTTCAAGCAATGTTCTCAGGGCAACCGCTGTTCGGAGGGCCAACACCGCAGTTTCAGCTCGCGCAGGCCAGCCTGGGCGGCATCGGGCAGCAGTCGACCACAAACGCTGCCGACGGCTCCCATGAAGCGTTCCGGGGAAGCGCTAACGCCAACGGAGGCCCGCTCGAACCACTGGCTCTCGAACAGCCAGGTAAGTCTCTTTTCCCTCCTCCATATCTCGACCAATCCATTCGTTAGTGGTTCGCTCTTTCACGTCAGTGTTACGCCGTGTGGCAACGATGTGGGTACATCCGAGCCCCCCTCCCCCCCGATTCCCCAGACCCATTCCCCGATTTGCCCAGCCCTAAAATAGATGAATAATACAACAGTCAGTTAGTTCAGCTTTCTCGAATTTTGGTGGATCTCACATCACCAATCCAACCAGCAATAGGGCAGGAACCTATCGGCCTTTTTACTCATGATGCCATGGCATCGTTGGTAGCTGCATTTGTCCCCTAACAGCTAATACTTCAGCGTCCCTTGCACCCCAATATTTCACGTCTCTATTCAGCAGAAGCGGCGTCAGCAACCATTCCAGCGCTGACGCTTATTTCGTTTACCTCCGAAGAAGACTGCAGATGCCAGGCAGATTCATCTGTAACTTAACCTCTTGATGCCGAGTCGGCACCTTCTTCAGCAGACATCGCTCATCCGGTGCTAGCGTAGAAATGCTAGCCGTACCTGTAATTGGTTTGTGATACATACTTCGTTCACGGACAGGGCCCTACGTAAGCGGTGTAATCAAACGGGTTCTTGCCATTGATCGGCTTGGCACCTGCGGCAGAAGTTATCGGTCCTTGTGTTTTATTTGGGCACGAGAAATGGCGAGGCCGACCTGTACAATAGAGACCTGATTTGAACTTAAAATTGCGACCTCCTTTTTCGCTATTAGTTCTGAAATTAGCAAAATACTTTTCTCCTCAATATTCTCGAGGGAATCAACTTAATTCGTTGCCAATCTCACGAGGCAGTACGCCAACAGGATCTAATAACGCTGTACGTTGTAAGGACTTCTCTTTCGACTGACAATCTCCGTCCTGAAGCAAAGAAATCTATATTAAGCGAAAAGCATATGACTACGCCTTTATCGGATACTCCTTTTAAAAAAAAATTACCTTTGCGTCTACGCTTCTTTAATCGCCAAGGAAAAACGAATTCTATGCGACAACAACGACAAGAAATCAATTTACCGAGATGAAGAATTTCTTAACATATAGAGCAGATTAATTGTGCAAAGCCATTTTCGAATAGCAAAAATTTATTGACGCTTATTTCTTCGATGCGTTTTACATTGATGTTGGACTACATACTAGGACAAGGTAGGTGAAGCCAGTCAAATCGAATAATTATACTAAACGGCACATTTCGTCATTATTTTGTTTTGTACTGCGTTCACGCAGGTGGGGCTGAGGAAAATCAGGGCCTCCTTGGCCACGGGGAGGGTCCAGCTAGAAAGCGACGCACGGTCGAGGATCCACGCGAGGGCAGTCGCTCACTGAGACTGAGTATCAACGCACGTGAACGAAGAAGGATGCATGACCTCAATGACGCCTTGGACGAACTACGCTCTGTGATACCCTATGCTCACTCGCCCTCTGTGCGAAAACTCTCGAAGATCGCCACCCTTCTGCTAGCGAAAAACTACATTCTTATGCAGACAAAAGCGTTGGATGAACTTCGCCGGATCGTCGCCTATCAAAGCGGACTGGGCGGGTTGCCCCTGCCTCCTGGACTGGGCACACCCGATCTATCTGGTCAAGACAACGATGGCGTGGTCAGCGATGAACACACTTCGTAAAACTGATATCGTTTACGAGACAATCAACGTTTAATCCACCGATGCTAAAATGGAAACGATAAGTGATAGACTGAAAGAAGCTGAAGGGAAAGGAGAAAGAATGTGGGCCGCCTTTTCATCTACCCAGAAAAATCACAAGAAAAAGATAACCCAACAAAAAATTGTATGCGGGCAGCCCGAATCGATATAAGAAACAGTCAGCAGTCTTTAGCTTTACCGACTCGAGGCCTTCTTCGGGTCGGCAACCTTCTTGGGCATATTATATATATATACATATATATTATACACATTCATATAGAATTATATATACATACAGATATACAATTTAAAGCATCGCTGGAAGAAGATAGACCTGTACTATACACAGGCTGAGTCGAAAAGGAGCAGAGTGGAGATACGAAAGAAAGGGTGGAAAAGAAAAGGAAGATAGACAAGCGTGCAGACAGCAGGTTGATTGTGCCATCCTGGCCTATTCCCATTGTAGAATCTATCTAGGTAGGGAAAAACTCATCAGTCCGAAAGCTTTAGCCGGTCAGTTGCGAGACGCAAGCATTTCTGATCTGGCGACGACGCCGACCGAAAGACCTGACATACTTGTATAGTTTCTTTCCGTAGGAAGTGAACGTCTTACTCCAATTCGGGAGGGTTCCTTCGAAAAGATGGACGAAAAGGAAAGAAAAATTAAAGAAAGGAAGCTAGCAAGAGTACATGATTCACCACGAAAAATTTCACAGTTCACACTTCGACGTTTCGGTATGCTAACGGCCTTTTCTTCCCAGTGGTTGGTGCAAACCGAGTCGTGTGTTTGTTATTTCTCTTCTTTGGTGTATAACTAACAGTTCTCATGTTACTTTGCGTCACTAACCGAAACTTTTAAGCAGTCAAACTTCTTTTTTACTCAGCCGTCAAGAAAGAAATGAGAAGATTTCTTTTCTCCACTTCATGGCTCAATGTGATCATGTACATAGAGCTATTCGGCAGTCCGATAGAATCCGACACAGAGCTTCTCTGCTGTTGCAGAGACGCTTAAGTCTCATTTTGGTACTCCTCTTTGAGGTATCACGTTCCTCTCCTGCCATTGTGATATCCCGCGTCAGTACCCAAGAGCCGCCGACCTGCGGACGATGTGCTATCTTAATAACGCACGATCTGTCACGCATTGTCACGGTTGGGTCTCAGCGGAAACTTCTTCTTGCCAGACGAGCAGGAGTTACTTGACAATGAGGTCGCTCAGCTTTGTGCGTCCATATGGTTGCTTTGGTAACGAATTGCTTTAACAGATCTCGTCAAAGTCGGGTAATCTGAACTCTCTTAGGTGAATTGGACGATGTCAGAACCGGCAGCGGATCGAGAAGGACAGAGCTTGTCCTATGTATGGTTACCCCACCACACAGGATAGACTCGTTTAATTCCAATAGCACAAACACATTCGCAGCAGAGGGATAACGATGATGATTATTTAATAATAATGATGCTGATGCGCTGCGGTCGTATATGAGAATGCATGAACTACTTTATGTATAAGTATGAAGACAAATGAGGCAACGGCCAGAGAACAATAATTATAACAATGAAAACAAAAAAAAAAACAAAAAAAAACTCTTAAAATGCATTCATGCATTATATCTTAAGGAAAATAAAATTAGCTTTCCATCTAAAAGCCTAGGTTCGTAGTCATTCGTGACAAGTGTACGCACACTAAGGTAGTGGGGTAACAAAATAGTAGAGTAAAGGGATCGTGTCACACACTACCACCAAACGGCGAATGGCGTCTGGCCGTACATGAGAAAAGGGCACACAGTGGAAAGTCATCCGGCGAAATGCATGCAGCCATACCATCCCATACGAAAAGACAAGAAGCGTTTGTGCACTTTAGGATTTTGGCTTTACTTTATCGAGATGAAATGGACTCGGTAAAGGCGATATTGGGGAGAAACTAAGTGGACGTATAGTGCGCCGTTCTCCATAGCGTCGAGTTTTAAGGAAAGCTTGTGTGATATTTACAGGTAGACTATGCACTAGTAGTAGTAGCCCTGCACAAGGCTCCTTATCCACGTAATAACACCGCAAATAGTATACGCGGCCGTATGCTGTGTCTCTTCTACCTATTTTCTCACCTTTCTCCCGTTGCTATTTTCTAGCTTACACTGTTTTCCAAAAGGCGCCAGTGGCAGCAGCATCGGCCCCTCGGCTTTGTGCTAGAGTGTTACGTGAGCACTTCGCCTCGACAGAAAATACTATATGTGTCTTTTTGTCTATGAGGTGGCTTCTTTTTTCAGAACCTGTTCGTACGCATCCTCCACCACGGTCCCTTGTCGACCCCTTTCTACTTCTTTTAGCCCCTTGTCGTCTACTTTGCAAATGGAGATACTGCATGAGGACGGAAGGACCATAGCGATGTATCGTGCTGGCAACTTAGCCGACCATCGTCGTAAGGAGGCGACATAGTACACACAACGACGCGTCCAATTCACAGATACGGCCAGTCAAACCGACGCGCTCAAACATACGAATACACGCCCACAAGGAATCCATGAATCAGAAGCACGCCGGTCAAAAAAAGGTGCAACGCCATGCAATGGTTCTTTAACCAAGTTGCAGTGGCAACGGGAAAGTGGTGTCCCCGTTTCCGCTTTCGGTGGTTAGTGAACAGGCAAGCCCAGTAGAAGCAACACATACAGCGACGACAAGCAGTATTTGCTTCTGTTGTTATGGACGGCCGGACAACAGCATACGCAGCGCGGGGGAGGCTGGTCATGGCCGCAAAGTTGTATCTGAGGAAGACATAGAGCCAGGGGGCGAAGAAAAAGCCAATGGAGACCCTCAGCGAACGACTAACGGGTTAGATAGCTAGTGGGGACCAGGGGTAGAGCAGCAGAGGCAAGCTGAAAAGACGCAGTAACCCGTTATAGCCCGAGGAGTTGTCCCCCTCGACAGGATAGGTATAAAGGGTGTGTCGTCGGGGTGATGGGGTCCTGCTACACAACGCTACATCCGCTGCCTCTTGGGCCAAAGTGGGAGAAATACATTTTTCAGGTGTCACTTTCAGCATGGCCGCACAAACACATGCAAATATAGGCAACATATAGTGAACCTAAGCAAGCGACCTAAGTAGCAACCTGGCTAGTCACCGACCACAACAAGAATGAGCAAAAGACTGACATAGCGAACCCTATTCGCCTATCTGAGAGAGTAACGGATGGGTAAGGTTTTAGCAATAACAACGACAATCCGGCAGAAACTCTAGCTAAATTCTAGTGAACAGCTATTGTAGTTTTCCCACGGTATACGCTGTCGATGTGGTGGTATCGACTATTATCCGGTTGTGTCGCTTTCGTGCGCAAGATGAACTTGCATAGTTTAAGTAAGTTGAATTGCTTGATTACAACGAAAAATCATTCCGCATTTTACGTGCGACTAGCGGTACCAGTGTTAGATCGTTTCTGTGAGTACGAAAGGTAGCCAGACACTCTAAGCAATAGATTAAAATCAAAGAAGATCCTGCCTAGTTATTTCTCAACCAACACGTTCCATCGCACAGATAGATGCACGCGACACTGCACAACAATTGTGATTACTTAAAAAAACAAACAGTATTTATGGGACGTTGTTACAGCTGTGTAGACGCATATTAAGGGTAAGAGCTAATAAAACAATTAATTCACCCTTCTTTATTGATCCTGCATTCCTGTGCTGCTATGCCAAGCGGCACGGTTATTATACAAAACGTCGTCCTTTATATTTTAGAAGACGGCCCTTGGGCCGTTATTCCTAAACAGCGAAATGTATCGAAGACTCCAAGGAGAAGCCTTGACAACAAAGCTTTAATCCGGTTGCAGTGACCGTGACCCTTTGAGTGAACTTAAGTATAGTGCAACATGAAACTGCTGAGAGCTCCCTCCGCGATGGAACGGCGAAGGCAATGTACAACCGGGAGCAAGTAATACAATAGCTGGCGGGCGGCTATGGGGATCTGGACTTTCAGAATTTAGTCAAACTGTCGGCATTCCGGAATATCGGCCCCATTCGAATCATTATTATGTTATTAATGAAGGGTCCCTCCAGAGCGTCTATCGTCGCTCCTCCAGTCGATGGGACTCCGGAACGGCGCATTGAACCCGTGAAAGGCTCGGAAAAACAGAGAGAAACAGAGTCACACATAACGAAGCACAGACGAATAAAAAAGGGAGAGAGAGAAGAACAGCGTGATTGTAAACTAAGGAAAAGACCGTCAGGCATAGCCTGATGCCGTTCGTGCTACGTTCACTCGACCCATTCTTTGTCTGCTACCAGCTTCATTTTTTCACCGAACGTCTGGGGGGGATCGGAGCGGCAAACTGGTTTTGTGACAGGCAGTTCTGTGAAGGGACCTATGCCGAAAGCGTACCTCGATGCTTAGTATCCCTGCTGGCCGGTGGGTCGATCGGCTCATTCATTTTTTCGTTGGTTGATTCATCGAAGAGATGGTTCATGGGCCTTGCCTTGCGGGCTGCTTGCATCGCTGGCTGGCTGAGTTGTAGCTCGACAGACAACACGAATGAAGCTCGAAGCCAGCGAAGCGAGTGAACGCTCAGGGACCAGAGGACCTACCAGACCAAGAAAGGCAAACTACCGCTTGCTTCCCAGTCGCTGGTCAGTAAGAGCCGCAGCCTGCTTGGGCCTGCTCCGTAGCAAGGTCTTCTCTGGCAGCCAAACCAACCGTCTCACTCGCTAGCTCTTGCCCTGACTGACAGTCACGACCGTCGAATTCCCAATCCTCTTCCTAACGCCACCGCTCTTCTATGGACAGTAGGCCCCTGCACCCTCAAGCTGTCCTGTATTCCATGACGCTTGGACGGGTAGCCCCATACGGATGGACAAATATTGGCTGCTACGCTCTCTTGCCCCCCATTTCCCGAAGCAGAACAGTATAGGCTGAAAACTTCCAGCAGAAATGGCCGGGGAACGGATGCGAAAGCCGGCTTTGAATCAGACTTTAACTGCGAACGTTTGGTGGCGAGGAAGCCGAGGAGCTCGCGAGTCACTAGGTGCATTCCTTACCCGCTAACTGGGAGCCCCTCAACAGACCAACAACTAGCCTCTAAGCAAAGTAGTACCCGCGATGAACGCAATCTCTCTAGACGCTTGCTTGAAGTTAAAGCAACAGCTTGTGTTATCTAGCAATAACAACCGATTAGTCAATTAATTTTGACCCTAAGAAAAATGGATGAAAAGCGGCCCATAGCGTTGAATCCTCGTTAAATATGAACCAATATCCGTTTGGGGATAACGGATCATGACATTTCCCTATTGAGAAGATTTGTGGCGCCGGGGTTTTTGGAACTCGTTCGTTTCTCTCATATATCTATGGAATATTCATTTTCGTTGCTGAAGTAAGGAAAACCAACCGTTTTGAATACTTGGATAACTGTGTTATTACCCCACGACTTCAAACATAAATCTGCGCTTAGTTTAGTCAAAAAACAGGCTAGCCAAGTTTCAATTTGCAGATCGCCGAACACGAAACACGAAATGATTCATTAACTTGGAATTTATTTATTTTTTGGACAGCAATCATTATTGAACTCTTACTGAGAATTTTCTTTCACGGTTCAGGCCTATAACTAAAAATAGGTTAGGTAACACACTCTGCACTTCGGTGCAAACTACGATGGAGCCCCTATGGCTCCTCGATGCGATTTCTTCTACGATTAGATGTGCAATAGGAAACAGAAGGAACGAAAGCTTCGCCGCATTTTTCTCAATGGCATGCCTAAGTGCGGCAACTGTTGCGATTTGCTTGTTTGATGCCATTTTTCAGGACCAAATAAGAGTCCAGTTCGATTGGAGAAAATGAAGTTCGGAAGGACGGAGGCACGATCATCGGCGAGGTCTACAAAACAACGACACCAGAGGGTAGCAAGGAAAGGCTACTAGGTGAGGGAATGCTTAGGTGTCTATGACAACGGTGGCAGGCAGTAGTCGAGCTGTTAACCTGAACCTGTAAGATGTAACGATAGGTGGAGCAATTCAAAGCGGATTCGTAGCCGAACAAAGTAGCTGGTGTTGGACTTCGGGACTAAATGTACGTGCCGGTTGAGGCTTCCTCCGGCGGTCGACTAAACGAAGCTCTAAGACCACAAACAAGATGAACACCCGCTTGACCGTAGTAAGGATGGAATGAACAAAGAAGACAATCGGCAGCTGGGCGTCTGTTTGCCTCCTGCTTCTAGCGATAGCGGGACGAACGGCGATAGCCCCCGTCCCAAGCTTCTGTTACGACACTCTGGGAGTGCGGGAGACGCTGCTGACGAAGCGCAATTTGTTCTTTCGGTGATACAAACAAGCCCTTCCAGACGAACTTGACAAGCAGTGAAGACTTCTGCATCTCCTCCAGGCAACCACACTCAGTATGGCAATATCTTTTCTAGGCATGATAATCCTAGATCGGTATGATGTACCGCTAAGACTTCGCTAACATCCACGGAACAGCTAGTCCATTGGCGTTAACGACAATCAAATCCACAATATCCGCTTGAAACCATAACAAACAGGTGAAATTCGTTTTCCGACGTAGTATTCGCTGGAACCTGCTTTTCTTATCCATAATTTG